AATACCGAGACATTGACCTTAAAATCGACAAAGAAAAAAAAAGCAAAAAAAAATAATAACAAGAAATAGAATAGATAGAGCCCCGATAGCGATAAGGGATCTCTCTATCCTATTCAGCGCCGGCCTCCGCATGCCCTTGGACCCAACCCGGAGAACAGAGGGAGGGAAGGAGGTTCGAGAAAAGGGGGTTTGTCCTGCGCGTGGCCAATCGCCGACGGAGGCAGACGCGAATAGAAGGCTCCGTATAAACAGTAAAGGGATGCTAAAAATAGAGCCCGAGATGGCAGAGCGTCAAAGCGGAACTGGCTTTTTTTTTCGTTTTTTTTTTTTTTTTCTTTTTTTCTTCTCTTCTTCTTTTTTTAAGGTGGATGGATGGAGGGGGGGGAGTGGTGGGAGGGGAGGGGGAGGGAGGGAGGGAGGGAGGGAGGGAGGGAGGGAGGGAAGGGGCAATGGGAGAAGGGGAGGAAGGGAAGGGGAAATGGAGAGAGAAGAGGGAGAAAAAAGGGAGGGGAAGAGAGGGCGACAGACGGATAAGGAGGGAGAGTGAAAAGAGAAAGGGAGGGAAAAGAGAGATGGAGAGTGGGAAGGAAGGAAACAGACGGGGGGGAGGAAGGAGGGAAGGAGAGAGACAGAGTAGATGAAGGAGGAAGAGAGGGACAGACGGAGGGGAAGGAGGGAGGAGGGAGGGGCAGAGAGGGACAGACGGAGGGGGGAGGAGGGGGGAGGGAGGGCAAGGAGAGGAACAGACGGTAGATGAAGGAGGGAAGGCGGGGGCAGAGGGGAGGGATGAGGCAGGGGAGAAGGACAGAGGGGGGGGGAGGTCGGAAGGAGGGAGGGTCAGGGAGAGGGACAGACGGAGGGGGAAGGACGGAAGGAGGTAGAGAGGGGGGAGGAGAGAGTCAGACAGGAGGGGAAGGAGGGAGGGAGGGAGGGAGGGAGGGAGGGAGGGCCCGAGCGAGAGATGGATGGAGATGTCGAGAATATGCCGAACACAGGGCGACCGATCGTGGTGTCTCGGCGGTTGGTTTTTCATTTTTTATTTTTCTTTCCACTGGTTTATTTCACTATTTTATTTCTCTTATACTCCGTGTCTTACGCTCTGGTCTTATCCATTCTGTTTCCGTGTGCATAGATATTGATCTTTTAATTGTATCTGTTTGCCTGTGGGTCTATTTTTTTCTCTAAGTGTGTGTGCGTGTGTGTGTGTTTGTTTGTATTACATATATATACACATACATACATACATATATATACGTACGTACATACATGCATACATAGGAAAGAGAGAGAAGAGAGAGAGAAGAGAGAGAGAGAGAGAGAAGAGAGAGAGAGAGAGAGAAGAGAGAGAAGAGAAGAGAGAGAGAAGAGAGAGAGAGAGAGAAGAGAGAGAGAGAGAGAGAGAGAGGGAGAGAAGAGGGGGGAGAGAGAGAGAGAGAGAGGAGAGGAGAGAGAGAGAGGGAGAGAGAGAGAGAGAGAGAGAGAGAGAGAGAGAGAGAGAGAGAGAGAGAGAGAGAGAGAGAGAGAGAAGAGAGAGAGAGAGAGAGAGAGAGAGGAGAGAGAGAGAGAGAGAGAGAGAGAGAGAGAGAGAGAGCATGAACTGCCCCTCCTACATACACATATAACTAGGCAAGTACACACAACTTTGTGCAAACTTTGCAGGTAATCAGTTTCGCACACTGTCAAAAAATAGCTGATTGGTTCATGTAAAATATTCGCGTAGCTCTTCATTTTTCCAACCCGGATGTGTTTGCAATTTGTGATTACTAGTATTTTTATCTCTCCTGAAAGACCCTCTACTAAACGTGCAGCGAACGAGAAAAGTTGATATATCACTTAGTAGCGAAAAAAAAAATCGTTAGCACTGTTTATTCACGACACATAATTAAATAAAGAACACTTTATATAAGAAAAAAAATAATTGAGTTTATTTCCCTTTGAGAAGCAGCCATATTGCAGTTTACGATGGAGTACAACCGCTTCCCGTTTTCTTCGCTTGCAGGCTGGCATAAAGAAAACGGAAAAGGTAGAAATGTGTACGATTAGAACCGGTTTACCAAGGATTAATTCAGAGCTCTTTTTTAAAGACAAGACAGTTATTTTATTTTTGTTTTTATATTCTTATTTGCATTTTTATTTATTCGCCTATTCTAAAGCCTTCAGTTGGAGGATTAGAGAGAAATGGATAGAGAAAAATTACGATTTGCGAGATCGAAAGGAATGATCCATTTGAGATCGTAAAGTAGGGATGCCATGATCTGTCTTTCTATTTTCTCCCGTGTTGGCCCTGTGTGTTTGATGTTTTAGTGTCCGTGACAGCGGTATGTCAAGCGCTCATCCACTGGCAAATACAGATTTTGCCCACTTAACTTTCGCGGTTCGTTGTCTGTCTGTTTTGGTAATCTTTCTTTCTTTCTCTTTTTTTCTTTTTTGTATTTGTTTTTGTCCTCTCTCTCTCTCTCTCCTATATTCCCTCTCTCCCTTCCCCCCCCATCTCTTCTCTCTCTTCCTCCTCCCCTCTTTCCCTCCCTCCTTCTTTCCTCCCCCTCCCTCTTATATCCCTTCTGTCATTTCTTGTTCTCTCCCTCTCTCCACTCTTCCTCCCTCCTCCCTTCCATTGCCCTCCCTCCTCCTCCCTCCCTCCCATTGCCCTTCCCTCCTCCCTCCCTCCTCCCTTCCTCCCTCCTCCCTCCTCCTTCTTTCATCGCCCTTCCCTCACTATCGCGTTTCCCGGCATCCGCTTCCCTTCTGCCATCGAGTGTCACGTACTGCTTTGTCTCAAGGCCGAGGAAATTGAAGGCTTGAAGGCTTATTCTCGGAGCTGCGATGGCGAGTGACGTAAGACAGGGACAGGGGGAGGGGGAGGGGGGAGAGGGAAAAGGAGGAAGGAGGGGGAGGGAGGGGAGAGGGAAAAGGAGGAGAAAGGGGAGGGGAGGGAGAGGGAGTGTGTGTTTTGTGTGTGTGTGAAAGAGTGCGTGAGAGAGAGAGAGAGAGAATGACTTAAGATGAAAGGAGATAGACAGAGGCAGAGAGTGGGAATGAAGGTTCCGAGGTTCATTTAGTGGTTCCCTCTGGTGCAAAGGAGGCTCAGCCGCCGAAGGACTGGGAAATTCGGCCTTTGTATGTCATGATTGTTTGTATGTGTGTGTGTGTATGTGTGTGTGTGTGTGTGTGTGTGTGTGTGTGTGTGTGTGTGTGTGTGTGAGTCTTTCGTGTCTTATTTGTTCAGTGTTAATGCAAACGTTGGACCGAGATTTCATAAGATTGCACGTCTAATCCAGCGAATGTGTAACTTAATTTCACTGTGAATTCCTTAGCAAACAGGCGAAGTCTGCCATATCCGGGTGACATGACGAGTCCACTGCGGGTCGCATATCACGGGGGGTCTCGTCGTATCTCGCTCGCACGTCGCAGGTAGATTATCTACCGGCAAATCTACCTGTCAGGAAGTTGAGATAAGGCGATCACCCCCCCCCTTGCGCCGTTTTAAGGAGGGTCAGGGGGTGATGTACAAGATCCGTGTACTATTATAAGTCATAGCCGTGTGCCGCCGCCGCCGCCGCCGCGTGCCGCTGTCAGGAGCCAACGGCCTGGCATGCGTCCAGCCTTCTTGTGTTTACTTTATTTTTATAGCTTTTTCCTTTTCCTTCCTCCCTCTCCTCCTTCTCCTCCTTTTCCCCTTCGTTTCCTTCCCTTCGTCTTCCCTTCGTCTCCCTCCTCCTCTCCTCCTCCTCCTCCTCTTCCTCCTCCACTTTTTCCTCCTCTCCTCCTCCTCCTCCCCCCCTTTCCTTCCCCTCCCCTCCCCCCCCCTCAACCCACCCTACTCACCCCTTTCTTTTTTTTTATTTTTTAAATGTTTTCGTATTTATGAACGTCGCTCATTTTGGCTCGGGAGTTCCAAATTTTCCGCCTGTTAAGTGCGCGGAGATTATCAGTTTCGCGTTGTCGGGGTTTTGTGAAAGTCGCCATTTTTAGCGGGCGGGCGGGCGGGCGGGCGGGCGGAGACGCGGATCGCCGTCGGTCGGGGTGGGGAGAGGGTCGAAGGGGGCGATTCGATGGAGTTCGGGTCGGGTCAGATTGCGTCAGCGGATTGGGTAATCGAATTGGTATGCGGGATTAGGTCTGATTGGACGGTCGAATTGGGATGTTGGATCGGGTCAGATTGGGTCGTCGGAACGGGTCAGATTGGGTTGAATTGAGTCGTCGGATTGGATGGTCCAATTGGGTCGTCGGATTGGGTTAGGGGATTGGGTCGTCGGAATGGGCAGCCGGATTGGGCCGACGAATTGGGTCGTCGTATGTTTCGTAGTTATGTATTCATATCGTTTTTTTTTTTTTTAGAACGCGATATCGTACCCTCGATCAACTCCGCCGCAGCAGCACCAGGAGGCAGCAAGGAAGAAGAAAAAAATGAAAACAAAAAAACACGAACAAAAATGATTAAGCAGATGTTTTGGCAACACTCCGGGGGTGACGAAACCTCCAAGGCCTCTGTGGTTATTTAGCCTTTTATTAAGGAAACGAAGTGCCTCCGTTAGTCCTACAAGCGTTGACAATTATGCAGCATTATGTTATTAATCAGTGCCAGGTAGCGTCACTGGCACCTTTTATTCCCGACGCTCATCCTACCCCTGGCAACTCTGGAGCGAACAGGTGAGAGGGAGAGAGGGAGAGAGAGAGAGCGAGATAGAGAGAACCTGGTTGCCGCCGGGTTTTCCATTTTATTTCCCTCATTTTTCTCCCCTTTTCGGGTTCTTCTTGCCCTTTTAAAAAGTCTGTCTGTGTTTAGGGGGAAGGAGGTTTATCTAGGCACGCAGAGGTACCGAAGTGGAGACGTCAGAATGTGCGGCCGACGTGGTACTGGAGAGAGAGGCTGGTCGGGGGGTGGGGAGGGATGGGAAGGGGGAGAGGGCGGGGAGGAGGGAGCGTGCGCGCGGGGAGGTGGTGGCGGGGGGGGGGGGAGAGGCGGGAGAGAGACAGAGATCGAGGTTGTGTTTCATTCAGTTGTGACGCGTGGTGGCCGAGAGGTGGCTTGTGCCGGCGGTGTGGTGGTGTGGTGGTGAGCACTGGCCCAGGTCCGTGCGGTCTAGAGTGCCCCGGTGTGTGGTGGTGTTAGTGGGTGTGGTATAGTGGGTGTGGTGTTGGTCGTGGTGTTGGTGGCGGTGGTAGTAGTGGTGTTGGTGGTAGAGGCGGTGGTGGTGGAGGCGTGGAGTCCCACCCTCCAGCCCCTCCTCAGCCGCCTCCTCCTGCTGCCCAGCCCTCCACACGACGGCCTCACCACGGCTTCTGTCCTCTCTACAGTGCCAAGAGCCAGAGGGTCAGTGTGGTGCCACAGTCATGGGATGACCAGCGTCATGGCAGCAACACAACGCTTCGTGAGTACATGCCCCGCCGCCCGCGTCTCACCTGGAATACAAAATGGAATATTGTCTTTTTCTCGATAGTCTGTCAAAAACGTCAGATTTTGATCTCTTTTTTGAAATGTTTGACTCGCCCAGTCAGACATTTTTATTGGAGCGAACGTTTCTCATCTTGCTGGGGGACGATCTGAATTTTATGCGTTCCTTTTTTTTCTTTTTTTTTGCGTGTGTGTTTTGGATGAGACATATGGTTCTGTGTGACTGCAGCATGATGTGGAAAATTTATTTGCATACGGAAATAGGTTCCGAGACTTTGTATGTTTGTATTTTGCTATCAGCTAACCATGGGTTGTATTTCTGCTGTGTATATGCAAATACATACATATATACTTATTTGTATATATTGTACGTGTCCATGTATATATCTATACATGTAATTGTATATATGAATGTATATATGAAGGCTTCGAAAAACCGTATGTAGGCCTATATGTTTATATGATATATATTAATATTGGTACATGCATATATGGCTATGGATATGCGCTTGCTATTTAAAGAAACATCTTATGTACATAATGAAATATTTGCATTCGGGGAAGATAATAAGAATATTCGATTATTTTATCGGCTTTTCGTGAGGCTGCATCCGCGTCCTGTGTCTTGCGAAAAGTAAACATTGAACCAAAAGGCGATACCACCCACGTGTATACATAGCAATGAGGAGTTTGGAGGAAATCTGTGTGTGTTGGTGTTCGAATGTATGTGTGCAGAGTGTCGCCATGCGTACGTATCTGGGTGTAAGTTTGGATATGTGTGTAACTATGTCTTTGTATGTTGTGTGTGTCTGTGTCTGTGTATGTTTCTGCTTCAGTGTCAGTGTTTCTATTTCTGTGTCTGCGTATGTGTCTATTTCTGTGTCTGTGTATGTTTCTGCTTCTGTGTCTGCGTGTGTCTGTGTATATTTCTGTATATCTATGTCGGTATGCCTGTGCGTGTGTGCATCTTGCGTTGTACGCGTTAAAACAGAATCTGGGAGAGGCCATCAAGATATCAAGTGAGGCTGATCGTTGACAAGATAAGATTGCCCTGCGTACCTGTTATCAATCGAGGGGAACCTGGGAGATAGTAGGAAAACTCAATAAAAAAATGAAAAAGAATCGCAAAGAAACTCGCAATATAATCTATCTTCACATACTATTATAAAATTAGAACTAGGCCTCATTTTTTAAAATTCAAGGATAATCACAGACAAAGCGGATATCATCTCCTAAGCAGCACACGTAGCTAGCACGAATTGATATATGTCGTCGCCGAAAATACAATGAATAAACGTGCAGTGTGATGTTAGAAGAACGGTGTCCTGCCCTTCCTGGCTTCCCGCAGAGACCTCTCAGCGCAGGTTAAAAGCCAAAACGCTTACACCAGCAGGACCTTTAAGCGCTAGACATGCTTAAAAGAAAGGGGAGGAAATGAGTTATTTTTTTCGAAAGGTCGAAATATTACTAGGAGACAGGATTTTTTTTTTTTTTAAGGGGGGAGGGAGATAAGCATTCGAAAACGAACTCCATCTTAAAGCGCGTTTGACAAAGTTTATGGAGATTATCCCGGTAGCTACCATGTCTTTTTTTTATCTATTTATTTATTTTTAATCTCCTTTTAACATTTTCTTGCTCTCCTGAGAAGAGTGTTGATGCTGGTCGTGGAGGCAAGGGAAGGGAAATGGTTGCTGTGTCTAGAGTAAGAACAACGTTAATTAATGGATGTGCTGGCTATATATGAGTGTATAGGCCTATAAATTGTTTTAAAAAATCACGTCTCGATGTATTGGCGTTGTGATTGGTTATGCAGCCTACTTGTGTCGATTGGGATGATGATTAGAATATGAGAAAGATTAGGGATGCTTAAAAGGGCGTTCTTAATTGGGCGGGTAATGCATAATTAGGGTTTTGAAAAAGGTGTTGATTGAGAGGGACAAAAGGGATATTTTTAAACATTCACTCTCTCTCTCTCTCTCTCTCTCTCTCTCTCTCTCTCTCTCTCTCTCTCTCTCTCTCTCTCTCTCTCTCTCTCTCTCTCTCTCTCTCTCTCTCTCTCTCTCTAAGACAAACCCAGATCCTTCTTTTTTCTTTTCTTTTTGAAAATGATCAGAGCTAGTTGGAAACCATTCGCGGCCGTTCCTTATTTATGTCCTCATTAACGGCTCCCATCGCACCCTCTCACAGACGTCTTAAAACTCTCCTAAGACAGGGTTCTTCTGAATTCCATTTCGTTTCTTTCTTCGCTCCCTCCCTCTTCCCTCCTTCGCCGCCATCTTCGTCGAAAAAATTAGGGGATTCTTGTTTCTTTATTCTTCTTCATCGTCTCTTTTTCTGTCATCTTACATTTTTCCTCCTCCTCTTCCTTCCCTTCCTCTTCTCTTCTACTACTGCTCCTCCTCCCTCTCCCTCTCCCTCCTCTCCCTCTCTCTCCCCTTTCCTCCCCTCCCTCTCCCCTCCTCGACCTCCTCCTCCCTCTCTCTTCTCCTCCTCCCTACATTCCTTCCTCCTCCCTATCTCCTGTTCATCCTCCTCCTCCATCCACCTCCTCCATCCACCCTTTTCTCCCCACCTTCCCCCTCTTCCACGCTCCTCACACAGAAAAATAATACATTTCACCTTCCCTTCACGCTTAGACTGACCCGGTTCGGCCTCGACCTCGCCAGAACCGTTGACCTGTCACCGGCGTGGATCGAGTGACGTCACACCTCTCCGCCCCGGGATATAGTGGCGGGATAGGTAGTTAAATGGGGTTTATTAGGAACATGTTAATTAAAAATGATTTTGGTTATGGTGATGGTAGTGATGATGAGGAAGGCGGTATGGATGATAGTAATAAGGATACTAATGCTGATGATACTGGTGATGATGTTAATAACTATAATAATAATGATGATGATAATAAAAAAATGTTGTAATATGGTAATATGAATAGTAATATAGATAATGGTCTTGATGATTATCCTGATAGTTAAAATGATTATCATAATAGCAACAACAACGATACTGATGAAAATAATATTTATAATAATAATAATAATGATAATAATAATAATAATAATAATAATAATAATAATAATAACAATAGTGATAATAATGGTGATAGTAATAGCAATAAATGATAATGATAAAAATGATAATAACAAAAATTATGATAATGATAAGAAAGATAGACCTTTCGAACCCAGGTCTTAGGGCCTTCGCATGCACGAGCAATGATGCTTCACGATAAGGCCGGTTATTAATTCTCCTTTTTTCTGGATGGCAGAGAGAGAGAGAGAGAGAGAGAGAGAGAGAGAGAGAGAGAGAGAGAGAGAGAGAGAGAGAGAGAGAGAGAGAGAGAGAGAGAGATGCACCTGAAGGATGTTGAATTTGTGCGTTCCCAAAGGATAATAGTAAATAAAAATATTTTTTTTCTTTATTTTCCTAACCTCAATTTGGAGATTGTACTTGTGGGTGTCCTCCCCCCCCCCCCCTCTCCCCTCCCTCCTCTGTACCACCGTCGCTTTTATTTGATTGCTTGACACTTGGCGGGGGAGGGGGGGGGTTACAAATGATTTTAGGCTGAACGGTAAAAAGGCATACAAGGAGGGGGGGTGAATGGGAAGAGGAAGAGGAGGGGGGAAGGAAGAGGAAGGGAGGAGGAGGTTGAATAGCTACCGTTGCGTTATACATTTCGAGGAGGTAAATTCTCGGCGAATTGAAATTGAACCTTTTTATCATATATTCTCTAAATATCTCTTATGCGGTGCTTAAACCGCTCATTCGCTCTTTTCCCATGTTGGAAGGCCGATGTATTTACTTCTTCCTCTTCTTCTTATCCTTCTCCTCTTTCGTCTATGGCTAGAATAAGGTCCTAGAAGTATAACATCGTCTTGTGGCCACCCTAGTTCATCGGCGTTCGGCCGTTCTGCGCATCTCTCGTCTCCGGCGTTTTTCCCGCCATTTTTGTTCGATTTTGATCTCTTGCGGCTAACGGTCGCCGCCACCTCTTTTGTTTTTAAATCGCGGTAAGAATGCCCTTTGTCTCGTATTTTACAGCATTGTGTGTTCGTTGTGTGTATTGTTTCACTTCTTTGTTTTTTTCTGTTGACATGTCAGTTAAGAATGCGAAATATCCATTGCTATTTAAGAATAAAAATTGGGTTTGTTTTGCGCGCTACTGCCATGCGTTGACAAGGGGGATTTTTTTCTTTCTTTTTTGTGTGTTGCAAATACGAATTACCCTTTAAAGATTCTCATAGGCGGTCTGCAATGAGCATAGGCCTATCGGACAGTTGCCGCGCCCCCATTTTATTTCGGATTTCACGTTTCTGAACAACAATGGTATTGATAGCAAATGTGGTAATGGTGATCATAGTCACAACAATGATGACGATCATGACGATACCATTGATGATAATAATGATGATAATTTTAATGATGATAATGATGGTCATAATCAGAATCATAACCAAAAATGCAATTATAATGATAAAGTTATATGATAAAAATAAAAATGATCTTAATATTGACAATGATAATGATGTTGATAACGATCGTTATTATCATTAAACAAAATTGTTTAATAGTAATGATAAGAATAATATCAATGAGATCACATCGTAAAGCACCGCAAGTAGAATTATTACTTCATTGCTTAAATTTGCTGGCAATTGAATTTCTGTTATGATTTAATCTGAAACTCAGCCAATCAGAATTACGAATATTGATGAAACAAATAAAAGATAAACATAGAAAGATCGGAGACTTAATAATAAACTCACGATTTATTATAATTATTATATCCAAGGTGCAACCTAGGGCTTGTAAAATGAGTGCGATATGTAGTGTTTCTGAATAATTCATTGAAATTAACCTATGAAGTTCGGGAGTTTAAAAATCCCAATTTTTAAAACAAGTGGCGCCTGTTTGTGGCCCCTTATATGAAGTAAAGCCCAATTTTTAAAAAAAAAATAAAAAATTTTAAAATGAAAG